GAATCCAGAGAGTAAGTTCCTTAAGTAGGTGAGAGTACAAGTAGAAGCCCAGCCCTGGTCAGGATTAATACTTCAACAGAGACAGAGAGAAGGATGGGCATGGCTGGGAATACACATAGGTTTGGGGGCTCAAAATTGATGTTCCCATTTATGGCCTCTGTTCTCTCTGTGAAATCATTACTGAAAATGATGAGCAAAGCATCTTAAAAAGAGTGTTAAAAGTTTGACGTCACTATGCTGGAGAACACTGCAAGTCACTAACTAATGAGATGCTGAAGACAATGGGTACATTATCTGGCACTAATCCACACAGATAGAGGGTTGTCTCCAAGCTCTTCAGCAACCTGGGGGAAAGGGAGATAAAAGACCAATAGTAAATTCGACCAGCCTTAGAGTTTTAACAGGTGGCAAAGTTAATCCAAGAGGAATTAAAGTTAACAGATCAGAAAGTTAAAGGTAAATGTACTGCTTGTTAATTTATTGCCTCTCAGCTCCAAATTCAACCTGCTTGCCCCCTCTGTGAAAATAATCCTGGGCCCTCTAAGTATTTTTCCTTTGCTGGCTGGCACCAAGTGAAGTTTTGTCAGGAGAGGCGGGGCCTGGAGAGACACTGAGGGAGGAAAAGGCAGACTAAAGCAGGCTACTGCAGTACAAGGCAGCCACTGTCCCCACCTTGAACAGTTTGCAGCAGAGTGTCTCCAAGGAGACACCTCCCCATGGACACCCTTTCCCTCCCAGCACAGAGGGCAGATTTCACTGCAGCATGACACTACGGCAACTTTTCTGCCACCCAGTGAGCCACATCCAGGCCCACTTCAAGGAAGTCCCAGTCTTAGCCCTGGTCAGGGGCCCTCTTTCCTGGATGTTCCCCTAAAGGTGGTACCTTAGCATCTGCTCCTTACAGCTTCTACCCCTATATTCAGTTGTTCTCTTAACTTCTTACTAGCCAATCCCTCATTCCTCTAAGCCCATGTTATAGTTAATACATTTTTTAAAAATTTTATTTTATTTATTTATTTATTTTTGGCTATGTTGGGTCTTCGTTGCTGTGCACAGGCTTTCTCTAGTTGCAGCGAGCGGGGGCTACTCTTCGTTGCGGTGTGCGGGCTTCTCATTGAGGTGGCTTCTCTCATTGTGGAGCACGGGCTCTAGGCACGCGGGCTTCAGTAGTTGTGGCACGCGGGCTCAGTAGTTGTGGCTCACGGGCTCTAGAGCACAGGCTCAGTAGTTGTGGCACACAAGCTTAGTTGCTCTGCAGCATGTGGGATTTTCCCGGACCAGGGATCGAACCCATGTTCCCTGCATTGGCAGGTGGATTCTCAACCACTGTGCCACCGGGGAAGCCCTTAATACATTTTTATAGTAACTGTTCCCTGTTCAAACTGCTGTGTGGTTTCTCTCTTCTGATTGGACCCAGACTGATACAATGGTCAGGAAATATAATAAAATCCGGAAGAGACAGGTAGCTAAGAAAAAAAAAAAAAGAAGCCAAAGGTCTGAAGGTCTCTTTGAGCTTAAAGACTGGTTATAGGGAGAGTAAAGGAGTGAGAGAGCTGGAAGGGTTGGACCCTGTGGCAGAATTTAGGTATAGAGAAGAACTGCTCTCTCCCTTCCTCCTCCCCAGCACCTTTCACACCTCACTCATAAAGTAGGAACTTCCACCAACATTTCTTCTCTCTTGAGAAAGTACTACGGGAGAAGCCCTTGTCATTTTCGTCACCTCGCAGGAAAGAAAAAAAAAAGAGAAGACAAAAGGAGACCTGTGAGCCCCTGACCTGTGTTGGCTCACAGCTCTGCTTCGTGGAGCAGGCGCACTCCATCACTGCTCACTGTAGAGGCCCGTAGGTGTGAGGTTAGCCAAAACACGCTGTGCTCCTTCTGGGTGCACATCTCACTCTCTCTGCCACTGGGGACTCAAGTTAACGGCTGGGAGGGGGAGGAATTGGGGGAAGTATTGGGAGGCTCCCACTTCAGCAGAAAATCCCAGCCATGTTTTCCAATCTAGATTTATCAGCAGCAAAGCAGATACTAAATTTCAATTCTCTTTTAAGCTTTCCTACTAATTTCCCAACTGACTTAAAAGCTAAAAGAGGGTAGAAGGGGGTAATCAGTGCTCTGAAAACCCTAGATTTAGAGTTTTAAATTTCTGAAGAATCTTTTGGTAGAACATTTGTCCACCATGACAGGGACTGGAAGAGGTCACAAGGAGTGTGATGCTAGTGTGGAATGAATGGAGAACCACTGCAGTCAAAGATCTCCAAGAGCAGCAGCTGCTGGGTGTTGGACCTGACCTCTACTGAAGTCATCCAAGTTGAAGGTGAATTTAGGATGCAGAGGAAAAATGTAAGCCAAGTTCTAAATATCTTGATGAATACAAGGCAGTGACCAGGACCTGATGGTGACAGTGAATAGAAGAGAGAAGGGTGGCAGAGCTGGTAACACCCAGGCCTTAATGGAAGACTTTTTATAGGAAGGTGAAGGAATAATGTTTGGAAGCCACAAATGGAGAAGTACACAAATGTCATGCCTGATCCAGGCCCTTAGATTCTTTGAGTTTGGGCCAATAAATATCCTTCAGTGAAGGGAGCTGAAGGGTAAACAATAATCTCAGGGAGAAAGCTAGGTTTTATTTAAGGCAACATATAAAATGTTTTGAGAAGACAGTACAAATATACAACCACCACTGGTCTAGAGAGCTTAATGGAAAAGGAGGTTCAAAGGGTGGAAAGCAAAGAATAAAAGCCAAAAAGTGTCCAGGAAGAAGCTGTCTTGTCCCATGCCATGGGCACCAACTGTTGGTTTTCCAGTAAGCTGGATACAATGGGAAGTGATAAAAAAAAAAAAAAGATTCATACATACCATAAACACTTTATATAACTTAAAACATAAATGTACACACATGTGCCAATCTTTTGATGTGAGGCCAAGGCCTGTTCTCTGCATATGGATCTGCTGATTGGAGTTATGCGTCTTCTGTCTTACATAAACCACATCCTTCATCTGTGATTTCCAGTTTTGCTTTCTTTAAAGTGGAGGGGAAACATAAAGACACTCGGGAAATCATCTGAATGCAGAGCCCATCTAGATTTTTATCACCGCCCCCCCCCCATATACTTTTAGCTTTGTCCTACCTACACGTAATCAATTGCAAAGCTTTTGTAGCTAATCTTTATTAAGTCATTCCAAAGCTGGATTTTTATGGAAATTCAAAGTCTTTCCTGCATTTGATCAATTTATTTACTCTTCACTTAACCTACATAATTAAAATAAGAAGGAAAACTGGCTAAACAGGTTTGAGGACAAACACAGCACAACTGGCCATTGGAAAGAAGACCACTTAACTGGTGAAAGCAGGAATACAT